CTGCAGGAAGTACAGAACACTGTTCCTTCCAAGGTAGGTGAAGCTGAAATCTGATTTTTGATTATTTGTACGCAGCAAATGTACACATTTCCCTTTCCCTCTATCATCCCAGTTCTGTATTTCCAAGACCACAAAGATTTTGCTAATGTTAAAAAACATAAAAATTGTAAAAGTAAAGGAGAAGAAATATTTTTAAGCAATGTGCATACAAAGTTTGAAGAGCAGTGAAGTGTGCATACAAAGAAAGAGTGCAAAAAGTGACTTGAAGAGCTGAAACTGTTTGCCGTCTCTGTTATTGTACAGCTCATGTTCTGCAAAATCACTACCAACTATGATTGAATTGCTAAGACTACTCCTTTAACTTTACAGGATGTGTAAGTCTTGTGATCCTCTTTAGACTCTCATAGGAAAACTTAAGAAACCAGTAGTATTTATAAATTATTCCTTATGGCTTTCAAGATTTTTTTTTTAACCTTCTTTCCTTTTTTAACTTGAGTTCAGGTTGATATGCAATTGACAAATAATGATGATATTTGCTTAATAACCCATAGCACACACCCAAGGAAATGCACAAATCTATTTTAGGGTTGAACTATATGGTTCTCCTTTACCTGGCACCATTTGAAGTGTAGATCAGGAGACTTCTGCCAACCTAAAGTCAAAAAGTGGCTTGTCCTGTCTGGCACTATTTAGAATCACTGTAGGGTCGCACAGAGCTATATACAAGCAATTTGTTCTCCAGCTGGTAGACAGTTTTTTCAAACAGAGAGCAATTCTCAGTGTTTCCTCTCTTCCCTGTGATCTGTTCAGAAAATTATTCCGTTTTACTCTGTAGATTTTTGTTCCATACACTTTAATGCACTTTGCTGTCCTGCCTGAATATCTTCTGTAGCATGGTGAAGTCCACTTTTTTTTTTTTTTTTTTTTTTTTTTTTTTAATTTAGGTATCTGCTCTGGAATGAATGTGTGTTCTTATGCCTGCTTTGTATTTACATTGGAGAATAGAAGGGTGAAAGAAACACACCTTATGCTGGAGCTAAAGTTGATTTGTTTATGAAACAAACTCCCTCAAGAAACAAAGTTTATTAAGCAAACTCCGAAGAAGCTTTGTTTCTTGCAGGTTGAAGAAGGTGGTAGGGAAAAATATTACACCAGCTGCAGATCTCTTAGGGATGCCTGGCTCTTGAAAGTGTGTGCATGTATGTGTTTCAGGGACATAGGTGAAAAAGCCCTACTAACAGAATGTACTGCAGGAGAAGGGGAAGAAGGAACCTCCTGAATAGAGGTGTTATTTGTCAAAGGATCTCCACATCGTTACTGAACCAACTCTAATTCTTCTGGTCACCTAAGGAATTTAAAACTTCCTGGGTCCTTTCACGTTCCCTGCTGAAATCCCGCACTTTGTTTTTGCTCTATAGAACATTTTAGTAAGCATTAAGAGAGCAAAATAACATGCCTTAGATCTGTCCTTAGTTTGAAAACCACTTTAAGTGTCAGAAACACAAGTAGACTTAAATAATTTTAGCTTTGATATGTTGCAGCATCAGGAACACATTGTAATGGGTAATGATTTTTTTTAATTCCTAAAGTGATGCTTTTTTGTTTTTGTTTTTTAATTAACATAGCAAGATCTAGCCAATTTTGGGATGGCTTGTCATTCAAAGTTGTAAAAAGTAATACAGTTCTGTAACAATGCCTGTGTTGCAAACTGTTCCTGAGGTGGGTTGAAATATGGAGGTTAACTAGATATCAAAACTACTAGAATTATACATGTATAAAATGCATTTAGGCATACTAAATCTCATTCTACTCATCCCCTTGGCCATTTTAGAAATTGTTTTGAGGAGCTGGCTTAGCAAATGCCAACTGTTGTGAACATAGATGAGGACACCAACTCAGTCCTGTGTGCCCAGGCTGAAGCTGTACCACTTGTGTTTGTTCCTCCCCATATATTATAACCTCAGGACAGTGCTGCAGCAAGTGAGCTGACTGGGTGATTTAAACACAATTTTCTCCCCTTCAAGCCTCTGCAGATTTTGTTTCACAGTAGAGGGCAGTGTGCAGTTGGAGTTCATCCTCTCGAGAAGTGCTGCGTTAACTTGATTTCTTATAGGCAGAAGGATTCCAGGGCGCACTTCAAACTTACAATTTTAGCTCCACTCTATGCTTATGCCTAATTAAGGTAGTTCTATTTTTCTTAAGCTCTTGCTTTAGTTTGCATTGGATTTTTTTTCCCTTTGTCTGCTCCGCTGCCATGCCTTTTTAAATAGCGGCAGCGTTCCATCCCAGATATGGCTATATTTTAGTGGTCAGCAAGTACATTGCTATACTGAGTATTTAGTTAAATGCCTTGTAGATCTTTCTGTCTAAAAAGAGCTCCATTGAGACTAAGAGGATATTATTATTCATAATGTGGTGACTAGTTTCACACATGGCTGAAGCAAAATAAATCATCACTGTTTTTAACAAAACAGTGAGTAGACCTCTTGTTGACCACAGCATATTTGTGGTCAACAAAGAAAGAGTCTTTTATAGCTATTAATATGCTGCCAAGGTGCTTTAGCTGAGATTTTTGCCTTAAGGGAGGTGGGCTTCCACCACTACATATTCATGCTTCTCTGCTAAGCCTGTTTCTAGAGCCCTACTCTTACAGAAGGACTTGATACAAAATCCGGTCCTGAAAAGAGAAAGTGATCATTGAAATAATTGATACAGTTAAATATTGCCTAAATGCTGAATCTGACAAGAAAATGAACAATGCTCTTGAGTGTTTAGGCAGTAATTTTTAGTTTTGAGTGGTCCTAAGCAAAACAACAGACATATCGGCACTTCTGTGATGCACACCAGCATAAAGCCCATTTATCTTGAAGGTTTTAAGCAGGCCTGAAGGATACCAAAGCATCACACTGATCCTCTAGTTGTTCATGCTTCTGGTTCTTTGCAGTTAAACTGGAGTTCAAACATTAATTATAATTGATCTGTTTATTACTCAGACAAGGGAATGAAGTTGTTTGGGAATGCTGTCATCTTCTGATTAAGCACCCATACAATGCTTATATGACTTCTGTGAACTCACTGGTGGCAAAACAGAGCAATTTCCTACATGGAAAGTCCTGCTGAACAGACACTGGTGGCAGCCAACACTGGTTTGTAAATGCTCCCTCTCATCACTTTTCAGAAGTTAATTTGAACTTTTCAGCTTGTATACAGACCTCTACCCAACTGAAAACCCCACCAGAAACTCTTAATTCCTTCTTCCAAAAAGCAGGAAGTTGGATCACATCAATATGCTGCTTAAATAATGCAAAAGAAATGTAGTTTGTGATGGGAATGGCGAGAGGAAAAGATCTGAAGCAGTATAAAAAGAATCATGGGTTGTGAGAAAGTATAAAATAGGAAAGCCCTTCTACATGGCATATGGTTATGTAAACTGAAAGCAGAACTTTTACTCAAAAGGCTTACATTTGACTTGTTTCTTTAACATTTACAACCAACTGATCTCAACCAACTGTAAAAAAGAGCCAACTCCACTGGACTTGGCGAAAGCTCCGTGAACTTCAGGGAGGGAAATCTTGTGTGAAATAAGAAGCAGTGTCATCTCTGTGAATTTATCTAAACCTTGTTGTAGCTCTCCAGATGAACTTTGAGTGTTGCATATTTGCAAACATTAAAAATGCAGATAGTTTATTGAAGACATTTATCAGCCTCTGGTACGTTAATAAATAAACTTAGATTGCATCTGTGTGGCATACAGAGTGCACTCCCAGTGTTTACATCACTCCATAGAGGGAAATAAGTGATCTCTGCTATCTCTAAACCACACTAAAAACATCTATTGTCTGATTTTAAAAAATACCTTAAAATATTCATGTCTGACTAAAGGTTTTATTCAACCTGCTGTGTGCTGAAAGTGGAATAACTGTACTCCCATAGACTTTGTGACTGGAAAATGAGATTCATCAAGATTTGGAATCTGTATGTGTGAATTGAGATCAAGTTTGCTCTTTTATTTACAAGGATAAATTGCTCTAAAAATTATCTTGAGGGGGAAAAAAAGAACAGCAAACAAACAAACAAAAAAAAAATCACACTTGTGAGCCAAAGCATATCTACATAAGCAGACACAGGTAAAGCCGAGCCTATGCTCTGTTCTGCCTATGCTATGGGCTGGCCACATATGAGCCAGTTCATAAATGACATGACTGAATCAGCATCTCTATGAAGTGATATCCGGATAGCATACACTATTTCCATTTAGGACATCTGTAGCTTACAGAACAGTTTTGAATAGGAAATGATTTCTTTCTGGATAAATGCATGTGTAGAAATACAATTTAGAAAACTTCATGTAGCAACTGTGTCCTCAGCCAAAAAATATGTCTCGTTGCCCAGCTGTTACACATGAGGGCTCCTGGCAATTCTCTGGAGAAATATGAACAGGAATTATTGGTCTCAGAAATGAAATTCAGCTGAAGAGATTAGATCTTAACTAATGTGATTTTCTGTCATCTGTGGTAAACAGCCACGGTCCACAAATTGAGCTTCTTTTAAGGCACTTGGCAAACAGTTTTTCTAAGTAAGGCCTAGAAACTGTTTTCCCGAAGTTTCCTGGAATTCTGTCTATGCCTTTAGCTACTGTAATACCCACCATCTTATTCATCATCTTGGGGCTTTTTCTTTTCCACACTGGTGCTAAATATGGACTGTTAAAGAGGTCTTCATTGGTTCCTGCTGAAGCAGTTCTGTTGGTTGCTGTGGATCAGAAATTTTGAATGGCAGGAGCAGGAAAGCAGGTGACATTTTATAATGCTTTCCTGTGGGAAAAATTTTCTCTTTTGCTATTTCAGTGCCAACTTTGTGCAAATGTCATTAGTTTTGTGATACAAAAATGAGAAATCATGATGAGTTTCCATGCGATCAGGCACAAACATCAGTTTGTGGCTTTGTCTATCATTCTGCCTTCTTCTGTATTAAAGCTGGATGTTTCTGTGCTTTTGTAGAAGCTGCTGCACTTTTTCCCTGGACAAGAATGATGGTTTCTCAGAGAGAGTGCAGAAGTCATCTTTGGAGTCTGGATGCTGTTTCTGCTTCAGAGTCTCTCTACCATAAAAGAAGCATCCACACAGCCTTCTTCCTCTGCTGCTGCCCGTGAGATGAAGGTATTGCTTTTGTTTTACGCGCATTCTGTGGATGAAAGACATTTTAAATGTCAAAGTGTGGAGGTTTGTAATGACCCAGTAAATATTCAACAAGATTTCACTTCTTGTGCCTACTTCCAAGTGTTAAAATCTTAGAAATATACATTAATACTTTCAGAGGAAAAATACTACTGGAAGTCTCTGAGTTATGAGCAGAAACTTGCTCAACTGCAAGTACCTTGGGAGGGTCATTCAGCTGAGCTGAGAAACTTCAGAAGTCTGCCAAACTTGTTCCCATATGTGACAGTTCAGCTCTTCCTCAGACAGCAGAGCTCCCTAGTAATGGCACCAAACATCACCTTCCTTCTCTTCCTCTGCAGAGCAGAGCATACCATGCTGCCAGTGCCTTCGGCTTTATAATGTGAAAAGCAATGCTGGCCACTGAGGCACTTGCATTTTATCAATAAGAGCAGGGTGAGGAGCCATGCTAGAATATAACAAACCTGACCTTTCTGTTCATAGGTACCAGGCTGCTCAAGCCAGTCACAGATATTTTAGCTGGTATTTTGTCTAGGCCAAGCCGTTCTTGAGAAGTAAAGCTTGTTTATAAAACCTCCACTAAAAGCAGGTGTTGCAGACATCCCATTAGTAACCTTTGACTTACCTTCCCCTTTGAAACTTTTCATCCCAAAGGGACTGACGTTTCAAAGCCTTTATTCTTCTTTTTTTTTTTTGTCCCTCCACGTTTGCATATTGTAAACATTTTTCTTCTCTGCTCTGATGGAACAGAGCCAAAAATCTGCACAATGGGGGAACTAGATGTTAATGAGCAGAGATTGTGGGAAAATGTGTACGGGGCTGCCCTGCCTGACCTGCATGATAATGCTACATTTAGCACATTCTTTTCCATTGGGGTAGCAGGCCTTGAAATGGTAGCAAACAACACATATTGTGAAGGTTTGTTTTAAAGAAAACTAAGTTCTTCAGAGAGTGGAAATAACAAATTATTTATTGTATACAGTTGGCAAACTGACAGCTGGCCCTGGAAATATTTATGCACAAACAGAGGTGTGAAAATATATATTCATGTTTTCAGTAAAATCACTTTACATGAAAGTTTAAATGTTCTAAAACACTGGTATTGCATACAGACTCATGCTGAATTGAGAAAGTTTACAATGACTGTGGTATTTAGGAACTGATGAAGAAAAAATGGCTATTGGGTCCATTAGGACAAAACATATTCAAGCACTTTGGCATCTTCTAAATAGTTTTTTACTCTAGCTGTGCTCAGGGCCCCTTTTTAATGTGTTTATGTCAGTGGAGTTTTGTTTGTACAAAACGCTCCTGAAAAATTAATTTTGGCTCCTCTGAGTCAAGTTTCATTTAATCATAAAACAAAATTTATGTCTCAAGCATATGAAAATCATTAGGGGCAAAAGGATTCTGAGAACATAAACAACACCATGTGACTTAGACACCCAATTGCACAGCTTGAATCTATCAAGTGGTGAACGTACTAAAATACTAAAGAGAACACTTACAGTCAGCATTTGGTGTGCAGTGAGTAGGGAGAAATTTGTTTGCACAAAACTGACTAACAAAGAGAAGTACTGAAGGGCTTCATAACAAAAGGCTGTAGATAATTTCTGAGCAGAGAAAGGGTTTTAAATCCATTGAACAAGCTATTCCTTGCAAACTTTTAATCCAGCTATCTTTTAATTGTATTTTGTATGTCCAACTCTACTGTTCCAGTTAGGGAAATAGTACTTCATGTAGTAAAAATTGCATACAAATGTGAACTGTTTACAAATGACATTCCAAATTCTCATCAGGAAATGCTTATTACTTCATAATCAAAGATTCCTAAAGAGCTTTTCCATGGGGAAAGAGACTTCCTCTAATTACCTTAAAGTCAACACTTATGGAGTGGATATGGGCTCAGAGCCATGTTTTGCAAAGGACAAAGCAAACTTCTTAGTGGAACATCTGCTAGGTAAGGACAACATACCTTAGAATAGATTTTCTGATGAATTCAACCTTGATCCCAAAACTACTTCTATCCTAAAATTACTGTCTTAGTTGTGCTACATGTCTTCAGGAACAGCTTCAAACTCTAGCTAATACCAGAAGTTCAGACAATATGCTTTGAAGCTACTCAAATCCACTTACATTTTTCATAGTAAAAGAAAAGAATGCAAAAACATCAATTCCCTTTTCAGGGATCTTTAAAATGGTGTGAGACACGTGTGACCAGCTGACTTCCTGCCAATTATTGGATGGATTTATTTTCTCCACAAATAATGTGTTGGTGCCATGAGCAGCCAGTGACCCAGCTACCGTTCCCTCGGAGCTGCTCAGAGCATCTAGAAGAGTGATAGCTGCTTGGTATGTTCTGAAGGCTATGAACTAGTTGGATATCCACGTAGGTATATCCACACTCTCATAACCATTAGGAGATCCTCCTTTCAGGAGATTACTTGGGTGGGATGACCTTGCAGTTTGTTCTGGAGAAATCTTTATGATCTACATGGATATCTGTTACCAAGCTGGGTACAGTTAATTCCTGTTTTTCACTCTCCTTCCTCATCTATCATTTCAGTTCTAGGTTTCCAATGTCCCCTACTACTTAGTACAGCAACTTCACAACATCTCTGCATTGTCAGATATTTCTGAATAATGATTTAAATCAAACCTTGAGATACTTTCAAGACAAGCGCCAACTTGGTGACCGTGTCCATCCTTTCTTGGTTAAACTTTGGCTTGTCTGCCATTCTCATGGAGCTTTCATTTTATCATGTGCCTTCTGTTTATTTGTCTTCCTCTTCATTAGACTCAGGGGATGTTGTGGTCTATGCTTTGGAAACTGCCCCAAGTGAAAAAGTCAGGGAGTTGCAATGTGGCTGGAAAAAAGAAAGCAGAAACAGAGTGTCTGTAGTGGAAGAAGTAAGAGAACTCAGGAAAGTTACTTGTTCTGTTCATTCTTCAGTACTTGTTGGGTTCTAACTACCATGTGACTGATTTCAATTTATTAGCTGAAATTCTGAAACACAAAGACCGTCACATCACAGCTCATAAATGGTGTTTATGCCCCTGCTGTTGATGAGAGCTCCCTCTGAATACTGAACTTACATTCTTGAAGCTTTGCTTTCAAAGCCTTGCAGAAAAAAAAGGAAAAAAAAAAAAATATATATATAGTTCTATCTTCATAAGTCAGTTCTTTTAGCTTCAGTGTTTGTATATACTTGTACTTATTTGTATTTACTTGTATGTAAATGCTGTACGAGATTGCATCAAGGTCAGATAATGCACACTGGCCTGGGCTGCTTCTACTTAATGCTGACTTCCCTTTCAGCAATTACCATCAGTTGGACTAAGTGTTTCAGGGGAATAGGATCAGATCTTAGTCTTTCCTGCACTGACTATTTTGAGAAATAGAAAGTATTTGTCTTACCTTCATTTCGCACAAACCTTTGACTATTCAGAGCACTCAAAATTGGAAGAGTGACAGTTTTCAGCAACAGCTGGCTGCCTGCACCCATGCTCCTCTGAAGAGATTAGGTGGAGAGTTATGTTAAGTTAGATGTATTTTGGGCTGTTCTTTCTAAGCCTTTTAAGTTAAATGTGAGGCTTATTTAGAAAAACACACTATTAAGAAAAGCATTTAAGCACAAGATAAAACATGATTCTAGATAGGAATCAACAAGCCTTTGATTAGATGTTTCTTAAACTAGGTCCTTACAGAGTTGATCTCACATCATCTTTTTCTTTCTTTCTCTGTTGCAAAAAGATGTTATCTTCATAACATCTACTATAAATCCTTCTCCAATACTTGTGTAATCCATTACCAATATTTGGCCACCTCTAGATTTTTAATACAATGCCCCATAATTCTCATTAAAAGTGGTACCAGTGTTGCTATTTTACAAATGTCCTGAATTACAGAGAAAATTACAGAGAAAATACAGAGAGTTTTCCCACTCTCACAAAAGGAAAATAGTACTTATGGAGTCTGGTCATTTTTGCTTTCCTTACTGCATTCTCCTTCCTGAAAATGGAGAAAAAGATTTATTTTGGGACAGTGATGTTTCCCAGGGGGATTGTGGCTCAACTCTCAAAAGAATTGAGATTTTGCTTTTGCTGCCAAAAAACTCCTCTCTTTCATGACTTTAGCTATGGGTGACCCTCTATTAAAAGTCTTGTTCTGCTGTGATTTATAAATATATCTTAACTGATTAATGAATTATTTCCTTCAGTTAGACTATTGTTACGTAGTTAAGATACATTGCTAAGCAGTGTTAGTAAATTCACAGCACCGCCGTAGAATTACTAGTTTGTCATTTGTCTTGTGTTTTCATTTCTTGTAGTTATGCCCTGTACATTTTTACCTTTCTAGCGTGACTTGGACTCAGTTTGAGTAAGTGTGGTCAATCATCATTGCATGATATAGAAACAATACTAGAAAACAAGGTCTTGCCATTTTCAATCTAACAGAACAGCTCTGTTGCTGATATTGTCTGACTGCATAACAGATGGTCTAGTGTCCCATGAGAAGACAGCCACTTCCTTGCATAATAAACAAAGAAGGAGAAGTTGTCTGCAAACCATTAGCATATTGTAAAGCTAGATGCAATGTCTTGATATTGTCAGAATGGGTTCCTCAAGCACATTTCTTTGATATTCTGTCATAAGTTAGATACAAGACAGCATTAAATCAAAATTAAAACTTTAAAAGGCTGCCAACTGTTTAACTGTTCCAAACAATAGAACGCCAGTAAAAAATATCCTCCAATTTCTAAATATTGACAAGCAACTAGCTGATAATAAAGGTTTGAGTATGGGTACCTTTTATTAGAGGAAGACAAGATTATTAAGCCCACGTGTGACATTCCCAACAATGTGGGGGAGATTCCTTTCTCCTTTTTCCTTTTTACAAATCAAGACGTTAGTTCTAGTGCTGTTCTTGCTTGAAGTGCAGATTTGGAATTGTATAGTGAAAGCTTATGAAATTCTTGGCTGTTTTAAGAGTATTTTCCCTTAAAATTGAATGTTGACATGTTATGTGTATATAGATATATGCATACGTATGTATATATAAAATGTATGTTGTATTTAATAATATATGTATAATGTAATTATATAGAGAGAATATACAAGGACTACTCCAAAATTAATACCTCCTATTTCATGATGTTGGCCCACATTGTCAGAGGTAAATGGTGGTGTTATGGCAGTAGAGAATTTAACCTTCCCCCCAGTATCCCATTACACGTTGTTGCCACGTGATGGATGGCAGCAGAGTGGCTGTCTGATAGAATGGTCTCTGACATGGAAGTGTGCGTGAAGTAAAGAAGTGGAATTGAATTCCTACATGCAGAAAAAAATGGCACCTATTGATATTCATCAAGGCTCGCTGAATGTTTCTGGAGACCAAACAGTGGATGTGAGCACAACGTGACGGTGAGTGGTGCATTTCAGCAGTGCTGACAGCAGATCCCTTCTGCTGATGCAGATTCTTAAGAGAATGTCATACTGGCTCTTGTTCATTGCTGGTGAAAATGCACAGCAAATGGTGGTGACTGTGTTGAAAAACAGTATTTTGTAGCTGAGAATTTGCTCTATCAATTACTGGTCATGTGCTCTTTCTATGTTGTAGTTTCTTTGGAAATATATAGGATGCATTACTTTCAGAGGAACCTACTCATATACTTATGTCTATGGCTGACTGCTTTTGAAAAGAATTAGAAGTAGAAATAAGTGACGTGTTGCCATTTGCAGAGGAATGAAGCTTTTTTGTGGGGAAGCAGGTTTTGCACCTTTTAAAAAGAGTACCAAATATGGTGTTCCAAAATTAAGCTACAAATTATTCTTTCCGATTCTGCCAGGAAAACAAAACATAGCAAACCATTTTTGTACATCTTAAACCTTTTTTAACCAATGATTTATGGCACTGTTGGCACAGCATCTTAAAAAAAAATAAAAGGGGGGGGCGGGGGGGAAATCACCCAAATTCCAGATGTGTAAAGCTATTTAAGTTTGGAGATCATGGTGTTACTGAGCAATATGCTGTTTACTTATTTGCCCAGATAAGTTTTAAGTCCTCCACCATAAACATTCAAAACAGAAATAACCCCAGTGATTTGTGGGGAAAAAAAATCCAATCTGGATAGATTTAGTTGAAGATCTCCTTTTTGTCTGTCTTGAAGTTAGGAAAGTTTTAAAGCTAGAACTAAAATCTTTCCTGGGCATTGCTAAAGGTATTAAAGGAAGTATTTTAAGCTGAAGCACTGCCAAAATACGAAGAGAAACACTGCAGACTGTTTCTGTTTGTCTATTATCAGTTTTATTGCTCATATTTCTCTTTCTAGAACACAGTCTTAGCAGAGAAAAATTCAGAAGAAAATATACTGAAATTAATATAAGCCGCACTTAACACTTTCTTATATTATGTGCTTTACACTGACAGAAATGGCTCTAATTTGCTAAAAATGGGTAGAAACTAAGAGAGGGATTTTTTCAGAAAGAGTAGTCACTTGAGTTTTTACATTCACAATATGTGAATGAATATGCAGCATAATACATCTCCTGAAGTGTTTCGACTTTTTAGATTGGTGGTTATGTGTACATTTTCCACTTGACCTCTTTGAGAAAATACAGAATTTTCTCCATAATCTACAGGGTATGAAATTCTACATGTTTTCTGGAAGCACAAATCCTGAAAATGCAGCTTCACATTTCACTGCTTGTAACCATACTTGCACTTTGCGTTCCTGTTTCATTGAAAGATGTAAACTGCATATTACTAGAGCACCATAAGCCATGTACATTGCTTATGATGTTTGTTAATTAGTGAATTCAGATCATCCAGGTGTATTGCAGGAGTCTAACCTCCTTAAGTTTAACGTGGGGTTGTGTGACAATTATCAGATTATTTTAAAATTTCTGCTATTAATCTTCCATTTCTATTCATTGTTTTATCTTTACTTGTCTTAGGAAAAGAAATGAAACCCACTTCTCCATAAAGTCTATGTATGTTGTAAAAGTAACAATGCCACACTTAGAGCAAACGCTGTAATAATAGGAAACAAGTATATTATTCTGTAGCTCATTCTTTATCATACAGAATCTATGTACGTGCAAAGGACCTCGGGACAGTTAGTGGAGTACAAAACAGGGCAGGGGGCTCGAAGCAGGGTTTTGATGCTTTGAAGCAGCTTTCCAATGTATTTGAAACAGTACAAAGAATAGTAACTTTCCCTTAATCCTCTCTCTGAATAAAACAGTGACGTTTCAAAGGCTGCAACAGTTTTGAATATATAATTAAGCTAAGCCCCTTTAACTCAGCACCGTACTAATTCTATGGGATCATATGTAACCAATGGCTAAAGCGAATAACTGGATAAAGATTTGTGCCTCAAGTTTAGCAGGACCCCTGAATCGTACTTTGAACCAAACCAACCCTGAGCATTCTTTGCCCTCATTCATTCCCACTAGGCCCTTTTCTGAAAAGCACAGGCAAAACAATGCAACAACTCTTTTGAGCAGGGCTTTTTGGGTCCTGGAAAAAGTTTGAGAATAGAAATATTTGGGCTGCTCTGTTTGTAATGAGACTCGTTGCACTGCCTTTTGTACCTGTTATCATCTTCAGTAAATTTGCAAGCCTGCTAGAGTAGACTACAGCTAGAATTCACACACTTCTTCCAGTGAGGCCTTGAAACAACAGTTTTGTTGATGAGTGCTTCTACAATACTATAATTGCAGCAGTTTTTCTCTTATTAGCACATATAATTATTCTTCATGTCAGAAAGTCTTATAATGCCTCCCTCACAATGGTCAGTGATCGAGTCCGAGTCAGCCTTTTGGATTACAAAATTACACTGCTTAAGTGTTTGTTCTGTACATTGATTTCAATGCTAAACTTTCTTCTTTCTCCTTTTGCACCTTATAACCTCTGATTTCATATGTCAGAAGAAAACGATGACGTCAAACATGAAATCAAAAGCACTAAGGCTACTGATAATGTGCTTCAAATGAGAGATTAAGAGATCTGGTTAAAATGATGGAGGAGAAAGGCAGGAAAGGGAAAATCAGAATCAATGAAGGAAAGTTTTTGTGCTGGTCTTAACAGCACAGCCAGAGTCCATGAGAGCGATTGTGTTCAATTTATATCAACAGTTATAGCTGGGGGTTCTGGTGTCAGATACTGTGATCTGATGTGTATTATGGGTTTCTTCAGGAATCTGCTCCTTCTCTTGGCTTCTGCTGCTTCTGTTCTGGCATACTGGGTGGCAAGTGTTGCTTGGTGCTGGAACTGAAGATCTCAGACCACAGCCCTGGCTGTGGTTTGGCAGTATGGTTGTCAGAGATCTCTTACAAAAGTGAGAGCTATGGCTTACCAACCCAGTTCCCTCACTGCAGCAGACAAGAACATTACTGCAATCTTTTATAGATATAATTCCCTTCATGGTAAAACAGACAGCTTCTTGCTTGCACAGCCCTAGCAAGCTGCTCAGGAAGCATACTGCCACAGCAATTGGGGATTTTCCCCTAATTTCCAGTCACATTGAGAGCTGTGCCAAGCTCTTTGCTCACTGTGCTGCCTAGAGCAGATGAAATAATTGAGTATGTTCAAGTCCTTCTTGGCCTACATTTTGTTGAGCTAATAAGCCAAGTTCCCTTACTTGTCTCTTGTTAGACAGGCTATCCATTGCTCTTATCATTGGAATTGTCCTTTGTACATTTTCCCGTCTGAGTTTACCTTTCTTAAATGTCAGTGATGAGAATTTATATGCACAGCCTCAGGTGAATTAGTACCAGGGCATGGTGCAGGAGTTTTAATAATTCCCTTTTGTACCTTGCCTGAAGCCTCCTGAAATTGCATTTGCTTCTGTAAGTGCTGACTGTGATCAAATAAAATACCATGCTCACTTTCCTCCTTTGTTGCATAAATCATGGTGTTGGCTTGTAAAAGAAACTCTATTTTTCTCTTATTGATGTAACACTGCAGTCTATGCAGCTGAACACTGTTAAGATCATTCCTGTGCAATGCTCCTACGTGGACTGGGCTCCCTGGCTCTATGTGGTCACCAGCCTTTGTTAGAGAGTACACTTATGTTGCTTGTTACTTTCATTAATGAGTTTAGTATTAAATATGTTCTGTTCCAGCCTAATGGCCTTTGAGGTGGATATCTAATAACCTTCCAGTTCTTCAATTGACTTTTTGATATAATCAATTGTCCTTGAGTTGTTTTTTTTTTTTGTAATAAAACGCTGGTACTTAAACTCACCGTTTCCATAATAAACTGATTTCTTCCTTTGGAAATGTTCCTAATGATTTCATGAAAGTCAGCTGATCTCCTTTGTGCGGACAGAGGTACTCTGTCAGAGTGCTGCAAGAATAGAGTGTCACATCTACCTTTGGCACACCTCAGGTGTATTTTATTGTTTTCTTTTTACATTCAATTATTCTTGTTTTAACTTTAATTATTTTTCGTAGGCTCTTGTATGTTACTGAATAACAGCCCACGCTGAGTTCTATGGTTGGCTCATATTACTCTTTCCCTTTCTGAAAAGGGGGAACTAGGTTTTTTATTCTCCAGTCATGTAGCATGAGGCAGTCAGCACTTTTGTATCGAGCCTACTTTGTATTTTTTACTTGAGTGCATTTCACTCTCAGAATTTCCTTCTATCCTGTACAACTTTCACATTAATTACCTTTCTCTGTACTATTGTTCAATTTCATTAGAAAATGAGTTTCTCTCAACAGCAATAACAAGATCTTTGTGAGTAATTTCCCAAATATCATAATTAAAATCTTTGTTTCATTGTGTTCTGAAGTGCTTTGCTAACCCCAGACAAAGAGGGGATTTTCATTGTCGCAGGATTCAGATATCAAATCTGTCTCTTTCATCTGCCTTTCACCTTTAGAAAATCTTCTCATGAAAATGTATACGATTTCTGAGGTGGGGAGTAATGTAAGGAGCCAATACCTGACTTTTTCACACCTGCCAGCTCTGTAACCTTTTTCTTCAGGGCTTCAATAATTAGATCTGTGTGAAGTTTCACAAATAAAATGGAACTGGATGACTCCAGAATCTAATCAGGTCAAAAGCTAAATTCCTCTGGTGTGCAACTTGTTGCTCTTGGCTGAATTGCAGCCCTGTAAAGTGGAATTGTTAGATCCTTAACTTTAAAATATTAACTTTTTTTTTTTTTTTTTTTTTTTTGCCATAGATAGAGAATCTCCACATCACACAGCTGGCAATGTGGTATCACTGCTGACATCTTTTCTCCACACCTTGAAACCTAAATTGCAGGATGTCTTTCTACACTCTGTTGCAATGTCTCTTTGCTGTTCTAATTGCAGGAGAACATGTGGCTGATACAAAGCATCCAAAAGCCTTGACCCAACAGGCTGATCCACTGCTAACATAGAGCAGTGTAGCTGCATATTTGTGTGCTCTGAGGAGTTGGCCCCAAAGGTGACAAACTCACTCAGGAATTAGTTGTGTGTTCAGTGATTGATAATACCAGTTTAAACAGGAATGTGTAGTCTGTCATGGCTGTTTTGAGTTGTATAAACTGACTGTGACATTGGTGCCTCTCCCACGAGAATTACAAGCTCCGATGATACAAATTAGGGTTCTTAGAAGAATAAGGTGAGGAAGCTGTGCGGATAAGTAGGCACATAACTACAAGTTTTAAACAATGTCTATTGTAAGATTTCACATCATGCCGAGTGCCTAAAACTAGATGCCTGTTTGCTGCATACTCTAAAGTCAGTCTGCCAATGCTATTTTGTTTTTGATGTACTTAAGTACTGAAACCTTTCCTTAAGTTCCCTGTGCCCTTCCAAAGGGCACACAGTGGATAGCTAAGCTTGGCACGCTTTCATCCTGGCTGCACAGTCTGGCAAAGTGTATGGATAATTGAGAGCACAGTTGGAAAATGCAGCTCTCCCACTTTTCCCAGATGAGAATCTTAATAGCAGTCTTTATTTTGGCAGTCGATCACTTCTATCAAGATAGAGTTGCCTTTGGCCAAGCCTCTGGGATCTCTGCTAATCTTTTCTAAGTCACAAATCATTTCTTCATTCAGCATGTCATTTGACATCTTCAGTGTTATAAATTAGTTCAAGAGGGTGGACACCCAATTCACCTCCTCACCAAGGGCTCAGTTCTCATGTTTTCTGAAGTTATTTATCTTTGCTTTAGGGGACAATGCAGTTTTACTCACTCACTGCACTGTCAAGAGAACAAGTCCCTTTGAGCCAAACACCTGCTTTCCTTTTGAAAGAATGATGGGGAAATGCCTTTTAAAAAGTCTCTATTTATCTACTTTCTTAATTTACCAGAAGTTCCTGATTACTCCAATCCCCAGAGATTTAGTAAAATGTCATGGCAGACCAAAGCCAAATAGAAAAGGAAAATTAACGTAACTGCCTTTCTTTTGCCACAACAGAGACAAAACCATGGCAATGTGCCCTCAAGGCTACCAGACCTTCATTGTGTCCTGGTCTCAAAATCCACCCATGAATGGTCTCTAACAATAGATCACTTAGGGCCTGTGAGATATGGCCCTGGGAGTCTCTGATGCCAATACAATTTGGAAGCCAGCTGAGAGACATTGAATGTTCCTTCACCTTCCAGGCTCCTTACATAGAAACTTCCCCTCAGATTGGAAATAGAGATGGCAGCATTTGTTAGGAACTGCTTAGGATATTCATGGAGGCTTTGATCTGTCATAATTTCGCTCTTATTCATCACTTTCTCTTCTCTAACAGATTTAGAGAAAGATCATAGAATCATAGATCAGAGAAAGAAGTCATGAAACCTTATTCTTCTTTACTCCAGTTTTGACAAGGGTTTAGGAGATTGCAGCATCTAAATCTTATTACATTCCTAATTGCCGCAGTATATTTGAAAGTCGCATTTGCAGTTGTTCTTTTTTCCATAGGTTCTAAGGTTGTGACCTTCAGACATTATCTGACTGTGCTGTGTTGTGTTGCCATGGCCTCCACGTAAGGATCCCCATCCTTGCAGTGTCCTGTAGTGCCATAGGAAGAGCTGTTACTGTGGCACATCTGAGCCCTTACAGCACCAGGAAATCTTAAGTAACAGATCATGTTCTGCCAGCTATCAGATTAGGAGTACAAATATTCCAAGCACGTGTTATAGATTTGACTCCAATTAAATTTGTTGTGACTTCTGGTAACTTTTATTGTATCAGCGTTTGTGAGCTCAATCACTGACTAAAGCCATATTGTGCTGTAAAAGCACACAGGAAGAAGTAAGTTGTGCTAGCCAATGCTTTAGTCTTAGGTGATGATGCTTATGGCATGTAATTTTGATCTAAGATGTGCAGAACAATATAGTCTAACTTGTTTCTGGTCTGACTGTCTAAGCTCAGCATAGAACATTGTCATGAGTATAAAAGTGACTACTATGCTCACAGATAGGGGGCCTGTGAGCTGTGGCACGTTCCTCCACTGCTGCCTTCACACTGCTTCCAGAATCTTCCTTAATCAAGTCCTGTCTGGGCTGCAGTATGTCCATCTTTAGGCTGAAATAAAGAAGTCAGCATCGCCTTTGGACTGGATGTTTTTCAACTCAGTCTATGTTTTGGAAAATATTTACAAGTTATAGAAAGAAGAACAACAATTAAGAAATTACTTTAACTAAAGGGTTTTGGTTAGGTTTTCCCCATGTTAATATGCAAATGTTGACTGGATACTCTTGGTACCAGGATATCGAAGATTTAGATGCAAATCTAAAGTCCAGGGTGATTTGAAACAAGGATTTGGCTCTTCTCTTTCTTGGGTAAATACTTTAAACTGAAGAGTATTGATAATTTTTTGGGAAATTTTCATATTATCAGTAGAAGTTGCTATGCTTTCTAGAAGAATAACTATAGGACGAGCAGAAGAGGCAGATCAAGTCTATAGAGCTATTGTAGAATTTAGTAATGAGAACAGAACTGTTGTGTTTTGTTTTGTCTTGTTTTTGTAGGTCCAGATCATTGCCTTTCAAGCAGAGGCAGAGATCCTTGTCTTTCAGTGCCCTGTGTGCTAAGCTTTCTCACTTCCAGCAGTGGGGAAGGGTCAGAGACTGGTAAGGATTTCAGACCACAATTTTTTTTTTTAATGTCTGATGCAGTGCAGAGTCAGAAAGTACATTGCAAATAAGAACGTATTGGTATTGGGATGATTGGGATGACGGAAATGTCTAAATATTCATGATATGCTCATTGAGTATTTTGGCACAGCAGAACTGTGTTTTCAACTCTCAGACATTGCACTTTCGAGTAGAGTATGCAAACAGTAAATTTCATGTATATAGGGTATCCTTTAACAATGTACTTAGATACTAATCCATGAACAGTTGAACATATATATACTTTCAAATATTTTCCATAATAGCAACTCCGACAAATGCTAAGTAGTTCAATATATAATTGCACATCTAAATGCAAAAAACTACTGCATAAGCAAAATACCAGATTTATTAAGAAATAAATGTAATTTTACAGGCACAGCAAATTTACAAGCACATTGTCTCTATCTGGTGACGATATGTATTTTTCTTCATTTGCATTCCCGCTGTTGTACTGAAATAGTGTCTTGAAGCTAGCAGAGCCCTTTCATGCAAACAAACTAGACTCTACAAAAAACTTTAAAATCAGTTGTTTGTGATGAAACTAGTATAGCTAGGAGAATATAATATATAAAGGAACAAATGCCTGGTGTCTTTTATTCCGAAGAAAAACTTCCACAACAGTAATCTCATGAACTCAGGCTTAATTGGGAATAGTAAGAAAATCTGATAAAATATGAAGCATATATATATATTAACATTATTTTCATTTTTCTTTTTATCTCCTCGAAAAATATAATTGGATTTTGACTAAAGATTATAGTGTCTAGCTACAGAGGCTTGATCTCAGAAATATTAGGGAAATCATTTGTCTGTTGGAGAGGAGCCTGTGCCCTGGGAGAGCCCTTGAGTTTTAAATCTATTTTTGTTCAGGTAACATTTTAATTTGCTATCTTTCTACTGGATTTGGTAAGGACTTGCCCCAGAATGGCTCAGTACAAATTAATTTTCAAAAATTACTACATTTAGAAAAATGGTAGTTCTCAAGACCAAACACATAATCTCATACATGAAACACACCTTGGGTTTTATTCATTTCTCACTGACACAAGGTGTAATTTAGTTGTCTAAAATGGAGTCATTCATGATTTACCTCAATAACATGCCAACAAAGGCTATTTTTAACATGCAACCAAATGACATCTAATTTTTTCACATTCACTTCACAGTGTTGTTGTTGTATGCATCCTCGGTGGCATTATTAACTGGAGCTTTTCAAACAGATGAAGTATGTTACTGTGGCTAAATTGTAATGAAAGAAGAGATGGCTGTTTGCCAATAAATGGTGAGTAGCTTGTAGAAGCATGTAATTACATAAATCACAAACATATGCAGAAGATGTTTTCTCTTTACATTTAACTGGTGTTGCCTGGAGCTATAGCTGCTTGCAACTCTATTTAATTACCATAATTATTTTAAATGTGTATATCTGGGCAATCTTTGAGCTTTATGAGAATGTTATTCATACCTTATCAGTAAAAATCTAAAGGGTCCCATTCTTTCCCCAAAGAGGCGGCAGTAACCAGGTTTCTCCAGATTTCAGGCATAGAGAGATTGCAACGTTTATAATTTTATTTTGAATTACAGGTTTTTAAAAACACAAGCCTCTGTAACTAATCATGTTTTGAAATCTCAGTAGATGCTATAACTTCCTGGTAGGAAATTAAGCATTGTACATTGTTTGTGGTAAGAAAGTACCTGGAGATATCCCCATATGCTTCTTTTACATCTTAATTTGCTGACTGGGTAAATGTTGTTTGGCCAAACAGATCGACAAGTATCTAGGAAAGGTATTGACTGTGAAAATAAGCACTTCCTATGGGAAATGTCAAAAGAATCTGTCAGACTAGCTGGGATTTTTCAGTTACTTTTATCAAACAGTCAAATAAGATAGTGTGGGACACTTCTAAAATTCTCCTCTGTGCTAGAATAAACCCAATTCAGACAACTGGTGCTAATGGAGTTGCCCCAGAGTTACCACGGAATAACACATGCTTTTAGTTCTTTTCTCATTTATATCAGTTTTCTCATTTATGTCAGTTTTATATTAGCTTCATGCTATTGATGCTTGTTGAGCTACATGTGCCTAAGACCAATACTTTAGTTCTGAAATATAGATGATTGGCCAAAGTATACATGCCTCAGTTTCCCCTAACTAATATTAATTAGTGAGTGTAGAGTTCCTCAGTGAATACAGTGGAAATGGTAAAACCCTTGGGAATAACAAATTTGATAGCTAAATAATCAAAAGACCAAACGGTAGGAACCATAAGCAAACGTCATGTATAGCTGGTGGAGAAAGCTTATGAATACGGACATGGAATTGTTATGCACTGAAAGAACAAGAAAAGTAAGTTTATGATAGAAGATAATGTAGTTTATTAGTTCAACTCTACAATTTTTAAAAGAAACAAAAACCATTACATAAACACACACACACGCAAACAAATGCCAGTGATGACTTTGACTACACAGCACTCTTAAATCATTCAGTGTAAGGGAAATAGGATGATGGCTTGCATATTGTCTTTTTCATCAACTGCTATAGTTAGCATTGCAAGTAATGTCTCTTTAAACAGCTTTTGTAAGTCATGAGGTCATTTTTGTTTAATTGTAATGTGACTTGCCAGCTGTAGATCATATGTGTAGTTTTGTGATATAACTTAGACTTTTCTTCCACCACCCAAGAGAAAGCATACACAAAGCATTTTTTTTAGAAATTAGTTACTACATTTTCTCCTGAAAAAAAATAAAAATAAAAATAAATGCTAGCCTATGGAATGCCAGTGAACAATGCACTTTCCACATCATAGAGTGGTTTGTTTAATAACCACAAATTATTTCAGGTAATTTGGCACCAATTTAACTGCACCCACAAGGATATCCTCAACAACAACAAAAAGGTAAAAAAGAACCACCCCTACTATCAACACCATCAGGATGAGCTGAAGGCAAAATTTCCATTCATTAAATTATGATTAGCTTTGGTACTACCTTGTCTATCAAATACTCATACCATGCTGCAGACACACCACAGGGAAACATTTATGTGAAGTTATGAAAAGGAAGCTGATGGAAAGTGATACTTTTCTCATGTATTAAAATGACAATAAAATCTCTCAGATGAAGGTACAAACTACAACAGTATGTAAAAATGCAGGTTATGAAGTTAAAATCCAGCCAAGGCTTTGTCAGTCAATATCTTTTATTACAATGAAGAACACAAGGATAAACACAAGATTTCCTAACTTTGAGAAGCAATTAATATGGACTTGTAGTTTGACTTCTGCTCCTTATCATTTCACTTATTTCTGAATCACAGTGTGATTGAAAAACTCTGATGGTGACATTAACCTGCAATCTCTGTGGTATCGGCAGCTATATAGAGGGTGATATATGCCCTGTCAGTAGGTTACAAAGCTCTTTGATGAATAGCAGAAGAATGTGGGAATAGGAAATCCCCCTAGTTTTGCCCCTGGGAAGAATATTTCTTGGTAATTTTAAACCAAACACTGAGGTTTGGAACATTCATTTTAGTAGCAGATATTGCAGCACTGATGTGAAATTCCATTCAGTTCAAGTGTTTTGGGTTCTTTCTAGCAGCATGAAGAAACTTCCATCCAGCCTCCCTGAAGTATGTTTTTCAGAGGCTTATCAAAGGTGTTGTCATGCAAAGAACAGAGTTATTTATGAAACAACAGTAGCACCAAGCCATCATGTTTCTCCTCATGAAAGCCATGATCATTATGGCTTTTTTTTCACAGTCAATTTTCCCTATTTCATCAATCAGGTAAGAGCCAACAGATTAAATTTTGATTTATTTGAGAAATCTGACTAACTATAAGGAAAAAAAAACAACAATCAAATTGATTTAGCATAGTTTTTCCTTAAAATACGGGCAAAATTATGTTTATATCTGATCTAGTATGCTTCAATATAAAATAAAAATATTTATCCTAAGTCAAAAAGAGACCGTGGCCTGAGTGACAGTTTCATTGTTATCAGACTACTGTCCATGTCTCCAGCTTTGTTTCAAATGACTTTGGTTTGGCTCTGATTGCTACATGCTCCGAAGAGTCTATCTCAATATGTATTTATCTGCGAGTATGCAGAGTGAGCAATCTGATCTTATTTTGTTGAAATCCTGCTCTTTATCATGGTATCTTTTCAGTCGGGTTTATTAGCTGTTAGTTACATAAATACTACATTTAAACTGAAAAGCAGATCTCTATGTGATAAGAATTTCACGCAACAGACTGTTTTGGAATAGTTTCAGCCTGAATTTCTATTGCATTTCAGTGGATTTCTTTGTATTCTGACTGAAACTTTTGCATCATTGGTGGGAGTAAGGGAGGAGAAAAAATAGGTTCTACATGTTGATTATTATTCAGTGACAACTGTGTGATAAACATTACTGCATGAAGATGTTTCATTTGACTTTGAAGTCTAGGAGATTGCTGTAAAGTTCGCAAAATCCAACCATCTGTTAAGAGTACATGGTAAATTCCTCATCTTAAAATTATACAATGAAAGACTGTAGTTCCTGAGACTTGAAGGGGCTGGATATGATTACAAATTAAATTGTAATGTAATATGGGCTCTTCCAGTCAAGTTTTCCAGTGAAAGTTGAGGTTGGCTAACTAGTTCTTTCCTGAGCACTGCCCTATGGATCCTATCCTTCAGGGCATCTTGGCAAGAGACTGGCAGATATTTTAAACCTCTAATTAATGCCAAGTATTTCACTTTTATTTTTAAAACGTAAAAAAAAAAAAAAAAAAAAAAAAGAAAAAAAGAAAACAACCCCAAGCCAAAGAAAAAACAAATATTTTCCATTTGCCATTCATTACAGATGTCAGACACCCATAAATATAGAAATGGTCAGCTGCAGGTGCAGCCCAGTTTTGCTGTGTAATACACACTCTGTTCCTATAACACTACTAAAAATGGTCTGGCTGGCTAATAAATAGCACTAACGTTACATAGTAAAAAGTGAAAATTAATGTGAATGCTTCTGGTGAGCTAGTTATATTAACAAACCAATCATGTAGTATCAGCAGGTATAATGATAGACATATAATGACAACATAAACTTTTAATAGCTTCTGCAAAAACTTTAATTCCTTTCAGTATTGGGAATTTAAATTCAGTAGTGTCATATAACTTTATTTCCCTGTATTTAGGAGGAAAAACATGCAGGAATTTTTAAATTAAACTCACTATCTGCTTCTGAAAAAACTCTTTGGGCTTAACCTTGCATATATCACTGTTATCTTACATAATCTGCTGGTAAAGCCCTGTTACCTCCATCAAAGGTTCTGCCCCTTAAGCGATACCCTTTGATAGCTAACTGATAGAGAACTGATAACCCCTTGCTGATAATAAAACCTTTCCCACACCCAGAGCAAGAAGAGAGTGCAATCTAAAATGGCAGTGAATAGAGGAAGATGATAAACAAACAAAAGGCTAATTGATTTCTTCTCCCTAGACGCAGAGCTATGTCTGAGCAACAGTCCATCTGGCCCCATATCCTCTTGCTGATGTCGAATGATACTTCACCAGAGAACATACTCTCTGTTCTCTCCCAAGCTTCCTTCCAGATCCTGTCAGCAGTTGAGAAAGTTTCTGAAATAGACTCATCTTGACCAGTATATTTAATAACTATAAAAAAATCTATCAACTCCATATTGTCTAATCCTTCTCAGAATCCTCTTTGATCTCTGCGTCATCCAGTGTCAGTAAGTACCTCAAATTAATTGTGTCACAACCTTTGCCAGGGTGGTTCTTAGCATCACTGCATTTAAAGCTGTATGTAAGTACTAAAATTACATGCTTGTTGTGGGGAGGTGGGAAATAAGGAAGGAATTCAAATTACTACATATTTTCATACTACTGTTAAATTTTTGACTCAGTCAAGTTAACATCAAAACTAGGACTTTAGTAGGAGATGAATAAATCCTGAAGTTATTTCATTATTGCTTGCACTTGTGACTGATCACAATTTCTCTAAGAGTGAACACACTGAAAAAATTCTTGTCTCCAAATGGATCCTCTCTGTGACTTTGAAGGACCTTGGCTTGGCTGGGAATACTGCTGCCCAAGACCAATTGTGAGGTGCCAAACACATGGACACCAGTCAGGAGCAGGGACCCAGCAGGTTGGTCTGTATTCTTTCCCCACCCTGATGTGTGCATCTGCATGAGGTTTGGTTCTCGTGGGCTTTAAACAAATAGAGGGAAGGAGAAGCCCTTTTTATGCCAAGCACAGGCAGCAGCTCAGCACCCACTA